ACCACTGTCACCACCACCACCATGATGTCTTCATAGCCACCACCATGCCACTGCTACCATTGTTGCCGCCACCAACCACTATACCCACCACCATTGTCGCAACCACTGTCGTCATCTCCACCACCACTATCCCCACCACTACCACCATCGCCGCCACCATTACCACCGCCATCGTCGCATCCACTGCCGTTACAACCACCACCATTATCTTCACCACGTCACTGCCACCACCATTACCGTGCCACCGCTGCTGCCGCCACCACCACCACAACCACACCATGTGGAAAGGAAAGTGATGATCCGAAAATTTTTTATAGTTAATAGGAATTATTTTTTATTATATTATTTGTTGTGTTACCAAACACAATTCTCATTCTCGGAATAAAAATAGAACATGTTATTAAACACATTTTTTTTCTCAGAAACTGTTCCATGGCACAGAAATAGAAAAGAATTATTTCTTTTCAGAAATAGTGCTAGGGAATAGAATGGTTGTCATGCACACCATTAGTCTCATTCTTCGTCGTATAGTAAATCTTAATACATCATCTGTTGTTTTGATGAGGTCATGAGGAAGTAATATTTGGAGTCATACGCCGAGGATAAGATTTATAAAAAAAAAAAAAACTTGTTTAATAAAGTACAAAATTACATGAATAAACTCCCACAAGATTGATTATTCTAGTTTAATTAAGGAGACATCTTAAAAAAAAAATGTTTAAGAAAATGAGATTATTTTTCTATCAAGAATGATGAGAGTTAACAAATGAATGATCTAAGTTAATTTTCTTATTCAATGTTACATAACATGGGTCACATTAACTTTATGAAATATCATTTATTTTATAGAAAATTAATTTCATGAACTTAATTTATTAGGTTGGACTGTTGCGTTGGTTTCGAAATTAAAAAAAAAAAAACCAAAAAAGCTAAATCAATCATGTTCAAATGGAATTGGATCAGGATGAGAATACTTTTTCATTAACACTAGTTTGGGCTTTTTGACTTTTTTTCTCTTATTAATTAATTAATAACCAATTTGCCCTTCATCCAAAACTATCCACCAACTTGCCCCTTTTTAGTCGACTACGTTGCATTTTTAGTCGATCAAATGGTCAAAAGTCAGAATTTGGATACCGCGAAATGTAGTCGACTAAAAATACATATTGATCGACTATATTTTTGGGATATTTAGTCGACTAAATGTCGACTTAAACCCTATATTTCCATGTTCTCGGTCTCATTTTGATTTTTGTTGTTGTGTAAACCAAAATAGCTCCCTGTTTTCATGTGTAATCCTTGCAATCCGATTGTATTTCATCCCACCGTCTCTAAAGCCCTAATATTGCGAAATCATTGTCATTGCACAATTTCAAACCCCCAAAATCCGAACCCAAACTCCCAACCTAGTCCCAATTTCGTGTGGAAGATGAGCACAAGTTCAAACATGTATGTAAAAATGATCTACTATGATGGAAAGCATTATGAAGGCCCCAATGATGTTCAATTTGAAGGAAAAACGAAAATGTTGAAAATCAATCGGGGCACTACATACAATAAGTTAAAGGGGAGAATTCAACAAAAATTGGGTCTGGAAGGCAGCCAATGCGTTCAGCGGATGATTGCCAGGGTAGAGACTACAGTTGGTAAGGATGCTATATACTACATTGGTAACTATATATGTGATGATGAAGATGTGGAATGTGTCATAGATGCAATTGTTGACCGAAAATTTCAAAATTTTATTGAGATATATGTTGAATTAGATTGTGGTCAATCTTCATCTGCACCCATGCATACAATAAGTGAAGTGTATTTTGGTCATGAAGAAAGAATAGTCAATTTATCTGCACCTACACCTGTCATAAGTCAGATAACACTGCGGGAAATAGATGAGGATGGGCAGGATGCCGATATGGACAGCGATGAGGACGGTGAACCTGAGAGTGTTATTCCGCTAGGTGACACGTCAGATACTGACGTAGAGGGTGATTTCGACGTTGACACAAGCTCACCATCCCCGGGTTCGCAGGTTACGAGACCACTTCGTATTGACCCTGTTAGCAGTGGTAAGATTCGTTTTTAAAGATTTAATTTAGCAATTATTTTTTGTGTTATGATTGGTATTGATGGTGGCATTATAATGCATCCGTAGGTTATGAGGTCGAGCCATTTTGGAATGAAAGCTCACATTATTCCTTCATTAATTGGGCCCTCCCTAATGATGAGACGGAGATATTGTATGGTGCTGATGAGGATCACAGTGGCTGGCAATTAGGGGATCTTTTATATTTGTATCAGGAGTTTCGTAGCAAATCTGAAATGCAACATGCAGTCAAATTATATTGTATGAAGGCTCACCGTACTGCCGTTGTGGCAAAAAGTGATGACCATAGATTTGTGATGAAGTGTCGAAGCCATAATGATGGATGTCCCTGGTATGTGAGGGCATTGTTGCCGAAGAATGGAAATACTTGGGTGGTCAGTAAGTGGGGGAAAGAACACACTTGCCTAAACCAAGGTCTTACCCGGGATCATAGATAGTTGGATTCTGATGTGATATGTGCAGCCATTATCAGTATGTATTATTCGATGTATCTAACTTCCTAAGGTATGTTTACGTTAATCAGTATGTATCACCATCTGGGCATGTCGGATAGCCCACATAATGGGAATGTCATGTTCCAACACCCTGGAATGATTGAAAGATCGCGGAAATAGAACGTGGGTGAGGACATAGTGTAGTATATGGGACTCCACAGAAAGCAATCCCACCGTATAGTGCATCTGTTCCCCACAGACTCTTCTCTGCTCCTGCACGGCATCCTGTTGTACATATCCTGGAAGTACTACACCACTATCAGCGTCATACGCCACAGTCTGAGAAGAGTCAAAATCATAGCCGAGTATCTCCAACCATGCAGGTGCCGTCATGATGATGATGATCTCTATTCCACAGACCCTCGACCTCAGCTCACCATGTACGTAGCTGAGGTTATGGTAGAAGGCCCGCACCATAAGCTCTGAATACGGACACAGGGTCTCGGCCAACACCCTCAGATGTGCCGCCTCCAACAGCCCCACAATTTCAAATCCCTCCGTAGCAAAAAAAGTTGTATCCAAAGATTTTGGAGCACATAACGGCCGGTTCAAATGGTCACGTACGAATGAAGCGTGGACGGCAGGGTCGTCCTCAAACAGGTACCCATACGGGAGGTCGACAGTATTAGGCTCTTCGTCTTGTGGCATTGACGAAGAAGGCCGGTCTTGCCTATGCTTGGTGCGTCTCTCAAGTGACTCATTGCCCTCATTGCTTGGTCTTCTGCGGCCCGTCATTTGTTTAGGGTACCTACAATGAAACATGTCAGCATTTAACTATATGAAACATGTCATGATGCTAATGAAAACTTGCAACACCAATACCTACACACGAAAAGCTAACTTTTCCCACATACCAAAACAAAAATACCAGAAAGTTACAGCAACACTCACAAAGCAGATTGAACATGTAACAAATTTCAAGTAGTGTACAAATAAAGACTTTTAACAAAGGGTGGTAATGAAAGTCAAACAAAATACAAATGACCCAGCTTTTGCTAACAATAATCAACTCCAACAACTCTTACGATAACAAAAAATTCGGACAGCAAAAAAATAAAAAAAATTCAAAACCTAAAACACAATGCAAATTAAAAAATCTTACCTATCCTTCAGATTTCACGATTTGAACCATTTTTTTGGTGCAATCCACACGCCTGGGGGAGGGGTTTGGGATGTTCTTCAGCTGCTCCTGCCGATTTGGGGTTTGGGGCTCTCCTTAGTCGATTAGGGTTCACTACACCCCCTCTGCCAAATAGGGGGGTTTAAAAACAAATCCGCCGAAAGTTAGTCGACTAAATATCGTTCTTTAGTCGACTAAATATCTCAAAAATGTAGTCGATCAAGATGTATTTTTAGTCGACTACATTTCGTGGTATCCAAATTCTGACTTTTGACCATTTGATCGACTAAAAATGCAACGTAGTCGACTAAAGAGGGGCAGGTTGGTGGATAGTTCTGGATGAGGGCAAATTGGTTATTAATTAATTAATGAGGGGCAAAAGGGTCAAAAAGCTCACTAGTGATTGATTTAATATTATTGTATTGTTTTGTTTTGTTTTGAAATTTTTTTATAATAAGATTATTTAAAGAAAATTACTTGTGATGATTGAATACCTAATAATTTATAGAAAATATATGCAATAAAAGTTATCAATAATTTAATAAGAGTACAATACATATTTGTGATAATTTCAAAATAAAAAAATAATTAAATTCTAAGTATGATGAAATAATAATATCTTTTGGGCATAAAGTATTGTCTATGTAAAAAAGGACTTCAGTCTATCAAAAAAAAAAAAGGACTTCAAATCAATTCTAAATTTAAATACATAACATTTGGCTCCATTTTCTTTTCACCGCACATTTTTGTCACTTCCAGTAAATACTTTTCCCTTCGTAAACTTCTAAGCAAATTTTAATTACTTTTTTATGCATTTCTATAAAATTTTCATCCATGTAATGTTGATATTAATTAATACAGTTTTTATATCTATTAAAGATTTTCTTTTAAAAAGCAACTTTGAAGTAAAAATATATTCAGCAAACTAAATTAATTTTTTTTCTATCATGATTTGTGTTTATGCACTCATCATCATGTTTGATGTCACCTGCGTTTCTCGTTAGTGCATAGTCAAAAATCCTCACAGTTTTACTTGAGTATGATCTTGTTCTTTGGTTAGAATACCAAAATTCTGAATTTGTGGAGAAGATGATGATGTTTTTATTGCATACATAGATGCTAGAACTTGTATAACAATATCTCACACTCAGGCAATTTGCCATATCTACAAGGCTGCATTTCATCACAATACAAATAATAATACTCTTGGCCTCTTGCTGAAAGCAGGGCTAGTATATAATTCTCATAATGAAGAAAATTTCCCTATAAAGTAGGACTTTTGGAATATACATGCTTTCATCTAACTGGCTAACAGTGTGAAGGAATATCTAAAACTGCTTCCACCTTACCAGGTGAATAACCATTTGAATTTACATATCTAAGATTGATAGTTTAACACAAATCATGATCGGTCTGAATCCTGTTGCTTGATGGCTTCCCAATCTGTAAACAACCAATTGGTGGAACTGTGGGAGTTCTTAATTCACCATAAGTTTCCCAGCAGAATGGATCATATAGGTGGTATTGTTCTTGAACTGGTTTTAACTCAACAGAGGTTAGAGAAACATCTACACATGGTAAGCTATCACTGCAGGCAAAGTGCACTGGCTTTACTGTGTATGTACCCTTTATTCTTTCGTAGTTGATTCCTGCAAGAGCCACAGCTGATGTGTGGTTTATGCATGTTCTTTTATCGCAGTAGAATTGATCAATCACAATAGGAAGCTGGACTTCAGAAACTTGTATATTTGAGAATAGTACCCCCTGCACAGACCCTGATCCACCCTGCAGAGATGTTATTTAATTTTTGTTAGAAATCTAACTATTCAGTGATTTTATCAATGCCATCATAGTACTAGCAGTATTTTTGCATTAAGTGGTAAAAAAAAATGATTTTGTAGAAGCCTATTATTTACTGCTTAACATGTGGAAGAGTTATTTTTTGTATTAATTATGACTATTGTATGGAACATATTTTACCTGCCATGTTTTGATTCTGACACCATTCATTGTGTTGTGCATGTTGACATCTCTGACAGTAATGTTTGAGACACAGGCTCTGGTGTTATCCTTTCCTAAACTTCCAATGCTGATTCCATGTCCTGGCCCACAGTTGACAGTGTGTACGTATACATTTGAGCATCCAGTTTGTATGGAAATACAGTCATCTCCTGCTCAACAGTTGAAATTCAAAACAATACTTAGCCTACTTGAAATATCTATGTCTAGTGGTCTTCATCAAATGTTTTTGTTTTTCCCTAGATGCATTTTTTTTTTTTTTCTTTCTCTAAAGTGTTCTCTGTTGAAAAATTTGGTTCATCTTGTAAAGGAACTTCTGATGTGCTATATTCATCCTATGTTCTGCTAAGTAGGGCCTCAATTAAAAGGTTGGTAAGTAGGAACAAAAAGCAGAACCTCTGTTCCCTAATAGAGACAAGGATAGTGGAAGAAATTAAAAAAAAAAAAGTTAAAAGAGTATGATAATATTAGATGATGCAGTATGGATTTTGGACTTGACACGTGTCATGCAACTGATGGATACAATATGTAAAATATTGGTAGATTGTTAGCTGCATTGTGGCCAAGGATAGGATAAGATAATGTCATGCTCTTCGGTTTTCATTTGTTTTGAATTTTTATTTTTACTATATATTTGTCTGCCCACATAAGTTATAGAGTTGAAATTCACAAGTATTTTGTTCTTATTCAATTCTCAAACTTGGTTTGTGAACTTGTGTTGTTAATTTTAATGATCATAAAAATGTGCAATCACTTATTAATAATTGAAAATTTACCACATGCTAATTTGCTGCTGTGAATCAATACATCTTTGGAATTCTGAAGGTGAATTCCATCTGTGTTAGGGCTGTCACCAGGAGATGAAATGCTCACATCATGGACCAGGACCCCATTGCAGTTGTCAAACTTAAGGTGGCATTGAGGACTATTTTGAATTGTTATGCCCGTGACTGTTGGATTAAAGCTCCCATAAAACCTAATAGCCTGTGGAACAAAAATACAATCATTAAAAAAACCTTCTTTAACATGAACCCCAATAGTTTTGTAGAGTTTTAAGGAGTCCTCACAGTTGGTTTGGTGCTAGGCATTTTTCTTCCCAACTCACTTTGTATCTAGTACAATTGTAGAAATATAAACAATTAGCTTCAGGGGAGAAACAAAGTGCTATATTAAAGTGCAAATTAACAAAGATAATCACCGGCACTGGTGGTCTCTTTGTGTGATTTAATGGGACTATGAGCTTTTCTTCATCATCTATGGGATTATCAAATGGGAAATCTTGCCACCAGACTGAGCCTCTTCCATCAATTACACCCTTTCCTTGAATGGTAATTCCCACCAGCTTTGTGAATTCCAACCACTGTAGTGATCCTTCACCCCAAGCATTGGGGTCTATTGGAGCAATAATTGTACCATCAAGCTGAAACAATACCACCTTATTAGCTTAAATTACAATTCAACCGTCGGTTGCTTCAGTAGGTATAACTGAAAGGTACAGTCACTGTGTAGAGGTGAATATATAAATATTTATCAAGTGAAAGAAAAAAAAGATAAAAAGATATGAAGAGTTGATGGTTAAACCAAGGTTTCTAGGAAAAAACACAATTAACTGTTCTTTGTTATGTAATTTTCTGAATTGGCAAAAAGACAGGCACATGTTATTGTCTTTTTGGCTAAAACATATTTTGTGATTTGTGAATATTGGGATGCGGGGTATTATGTTTTCACATGTTACCTATATATGTATGTATACATATGAATATGTATGTTACCTGAAAAACAATGTTGGGTTTACAGTATGGGCCCGAGAAGGAAATAGGTCCCACGTAGAAGACGTAATCCGATGGGACGAGCATGGTTGATGCCTCTACCTTACATGAAGCAGACCATGCTGCTTGGAATGCCTGTGTTGCATAAATAGCTACTTCAGTGAAGCACGCACACATAAATAACAGTAAACCGTATTCATAGTCATGGTAACAAGGTTGGGTGTTTAGTTTGTGAGTGTGTTGTTTTACAATTATTGTAGGAATCATGACCCAAATCAACTGCTCTAACGAGAATCACTCATCAAGTGGGCCCAACTCTTTTTGTTTGTTCTTGTGTCTTCACCTTTTTGTATTTTTCACTATTCAGCTTTCAATCATATACTAATCTATCTATCTACGCAGTAAACTTTCTTTAATAGCAATTAATAACTCCCTAGTAGTACATGCCCAAAAGACAAGACAAAAGGAAAAAAACTAATTTATGATACCACCAAATTGGGTAGATGAAACCCTCATCATTAGAGGTTATGAAAAGAAAAAGATTCTGATTCTGTGATTTTCAACGCCCTTTTCCTTGGACCCCCCAAAAAAAAAAGCCTTTTACCCCTCTATCTCTTTTTATCTGTGGGTCAAAGAGCATAGTGCAATTTCCGAAGCCTAAATTTTACCAAATGTTTTCTTTTACAATGCCTGCTTCCCTAATAATTCAACGACATCATCACAGTTTTAAGAGAACTTCCCTGAATTCTAAAACGAATGCTGAATAATGTAATGTTGTAAAAATTGTTAAGCATAAGTAACATGAACACTTCTCTCTTCTTTCTAACTATACCAGTAAATTTCATAACATAATCAGAAGATTACCCTGCATGCCCTTCTGTGATAAATTGAAAACTCTTAACACCTTTGGTGTTAGCTTGTCAGAAAAAGCTACATTAAAACCATTTGCTGAAGTATAATCAGATTCAAAGAGTTACCTTGGTATCATCACTATGACTGTCTCCCTTAGCTCCAAAATCTAGCACATTAAAGATGGTAGAATGGCCCCCATTGTAAACTTTTGGTGGCGGAGGTGATGGAGTATATACCTTCGGCTTAGGAATTGGTGGTGGTGGTGGTGATGGAGTGCTTTTACATGGTGGAGCCTTTGGTAATGGTGGAGTACTTTTATGTGTTGGTGGCTTTGGTTTTGATCCTCCACCATGGTGATTGTGACTATTGCCATAACTCTTTCCTTTCTTATTAAAAAGAGAAGCTGAGACAGTTCTTCTCTGCCTCCAATGCTTGCCTCTTCTTGCAATGCAGGATTCAAAATTGGAAGACCAAACAAGAAATGCAATGAGAAGCATGTATGTGAAGCCCCTGAAACTCAAGCCACTCATTTTTAGAAGTTAAAATGTGAGTAGAAACTCAGTATAGAGGCAGAGAGACAGAGAGGACTTCTTTGCATTGCCAAAACAAGTGACGGTTATGTTTATATAAGGAGAGCACTTGAAACCTTATAAGACACAAGTATAAAAATATTCTTGATAATTTATCCTTCATTTTTCTATCTTCCTTTCCTATTTCATTAATAAGTTTGTTTTCCTTTTTGTGAATTTTGGTTAGAATATGTTAAGTGTGCAGTGGGGCTGCTATTCACTTGCCACATATCCAAAAAGTCATTACATGTGACTAAATAATTTTTATATTTTTAAAGGGATGTCCTATTGGACCTAGTGGAATGAAAATGGAGATATGGGGAATTGAATTCTCACCACATAACCACATCCTCATGGTAAAGACCAGGGAAATTCCGAATGCTTGTGGGGTAACAATTGTCTTTTAACTATGCATACATTCATGCCCAGCATAACTATACTCTTTGATGAGGACAGAGGCATATCTACCTGTTGTCTTGTCCAACTTTACTTTTATTTTGTAGCTTAGCATGATTAGTTATTTGCTTAGTACCAAATTACCAATTATATACAACTTATGAGTGAATAATGACAATGGGGATAATAAATATCATTGGTCCTGAAAACCTTCTTATATATATTCAAGACCTGTTTCATAGATAGATATGAGTTTGATATAAAATTTACCCTTCTTCATTGTGGGGCTAACCAAGAAATATGGATTTTAGTGCACTTTATCAATTTTAGTTTGAGAGAGAGATTATTGCACTTTATCACTATGACCACAGAGCGATTAGTTTCACATATGGAATATGCATCGTATTTCTCCTTCTTGCTTGCTTCATACAAATTGTGTATTAAAAATATTTAAGTCATACTTCTATTAGGAATATAATGAATCAAGATTTGATGTAAAAGACAACTGATACACGTGAGTGGGTCTATAATGGGTCAAGGGCACTGATTATAACAGCTCTTAATCATCACATGCAACCTTCACGGGCCAGGACTTTTCTGTACTTTGTCTTCTTAAGCCATGAGCCACTCTAATATGATCAGAGAGCAACAACGACTTAAGGGTATTTCCTCCAAATTCGGGATTTGTGTTCCTCTTTTCCTTGTTAGATCAAAAGTGCAAATTTGCTAACGACCCCAAAGAGATTGAGAGAAGAAAAATGAATGAACCTGAATGCTTTATTAGGAAAAAAGAAAAAGAAAATCATTATTTAAAGAAACCCTCCTTACGCCCACAGATTTGTAGCATTTTTACATTCATGGTTTTGCTAGACAACATTTTCTGTTCATACGAATAAAAACAAAAGGAAAAGTACGATATCATGCTCCTGCTGAACAGCATTTTTGTGCATATGCTTCTCAAATCTATTGAGGTCCCCAAAACAGGAAAAGTGAAATATTGCAAAGAACAAAGTTCACATATATATGTCAAACAAATGAACAAGAAATTTTACTTTCCAAATATCATATGTCAAAATCCCGATGTAATGTGGAATGCATTAATTTATTGGATGATTAAGAGGCAGGGCAATGATTTTGCCCAATGCTCCAATCTCCATGTCATGTGTAACTCTTCTACATATGAGGTTTCCATAATGATTCAACATTTTCTTTTTCTTTATTAAAAAAGAAAATACTTGAATCATTTGGCTATCCTATTTCATTATTTATATGACTACCAGTCTGTTTTAATTTTTAATGAGGCATTTTTGTGGATGTTATAGGTTCACTTCGCAATTAGGAGTAATTTGAATCTTCACTTAATCAGCAAGCTACACATTTTGTAGAAAAGATGTTTCACTTGATGTTATAAGAAATAAAAGTCTTTATTAAAGTAAAGTTCAGTTGATATCTTTTACATTATGTTGATTTATAATAAAAATAGAACATGTCTTTTAAAAAAATTCATGACAAAAATACATGATAAAGCTTTTTTTTTTGTGTGGTGAAAACTGTTGGGTATGGCTCATACTTCGCATGCTGATGAGGGCCCTAGTTGTTGGGGTCAGCAGAAAGGCAACTGGGATTCCGCTCCCAGGTGAGCGGGCGGGGGTTCGGGAGGCAGCGCCCCCAGATTCGTTGAGGCTAGGTACTGTTGTGACCCTCTGTTTTATTATAATTTTTTTAGCAGTTTGGGCTTGGGCCCATGAATAGCTGCGGTTAGGATTTTCTAATCCTATTTATATTTTCCTTGTAAACCAAGTGACTTGTAACAAGTGGCGGGTGATGTGAATATAGTACAGACAAGCTGGACATAGCCTTAATTGGATGAACCAGGGTAAATCGCTGTATCTATTCTCTCTCTTTTTCTTTTCTGTTTTTGATTTGTATGTTGTCGATTTCCAACAAAAACGATGGGCATGAAGGTTGAGTGGACTCTCAATGCAATCATCAATCATCAAATAAGGATTTCTGTCTGTTATTTCCATCAGTTCACTTTACTAAGAGTTTCTCTTCTCGAGTACTTGAGGAGCTCTGGTTGAATCTCAGCTGTGTCAGCGACATATTTACATAAATGCCACTGCTAGAAAGCAACTCGTCATTTATAGGGTATCTGTGAGTCCCTTGATCTTTTCCATCCGTGCTTTTCCCTTCAGATTTGGCTTCCAACAATGATCCTCTTCCTCTAATGAGCTTTTATTCATTTCTTCTCACAAAAAATGTTGCTTATAACAGTGTTCATATACTAATATTATGTTTCATAAACAGCAACAATATATAGTATAGTTCCAAGATGAATAATGCACTATTCTAATTGATTAATATGACCCCGATAATAAAATAAAACAGGACTAGGATTAAACAATAATTAGCTATTTCCCCTTTTTTATGTTTATATATAGAAGTTGGGGGCAAAAATGTTTTACTGCAGGTTAAACGATTATGATATAATATTACAACATTGATTTCCTTGTTTGTTTCACATGGTGACCAGTTTTGCTACTTTCCAATAAATAAAGTATTTCTATTTTTGGGTAAAAGCAGGCATGTTATCACGGATTGACATCTTTTAATCAAACCCAACATGCTATATCCAGCATGCACAACTCGATCAGGAATATATATGCATTTGAGACATTTTCCCTGTACCTGAGGACATGAAAAACCCACATGTATACTTATTAATTCTGCTTATTATTTTTTTCCCATAGTTAATTCCAATTTGTCTTAGTTTACTTTTTTTTTTTTTTTTTTCTCCCCTCAATTCTGGGGTGGTAAAAAATAAAATATGGCATAATTTAGAGAGAGAGAGAAAAGGAGTACGGTACGACCTTCTAACCGTCTTTTTATGCTTATGTGCTCGTCTCGTGAACTTTTTAAGTCCTCTCGTGAGCTTCGTGCACACAAATATGATTGGGGTTGTTTGTGCTCCATTATTTAAGTTGAGAATATGTTCAAGTGACCAACTGAATGATAAACAATTTCATACTTTCAAGTTAGAGGGAGCCACTTGTGCAGCAAAATATGGCCCACACAAATAATTATAAATAACTTTGCAAATGTGCAACCTCCCACCAACCCCAAAAACAGTGGCATATACCTTTTGGTGGCCAATGTACCTTTTGGTGGCCAGTATAAATTAAACAAAGATAATATAAGAGCTAATTGTGTAAAATTTAATTAAATATTAATATTATATAATATTTGACATTATATTATATAAAATAATATATTGTATAAAATAATATTTGATAATATACTGTATAATATTATATATGATAAAAATATTCTTTAATAATGAATTTACATAATTCTTCCAAATATGTCATATGATATTAAGTTTTATAAAAATTTATCGATCGGTGTGTCCAAAAAATATATTAATTTTAATAAAAATAAAAATCTCCAATATTTTAAAAACTAATATATTGAAAAATTTAACATATTAATATTAAAATAATATATTAATTCTTGAGAATTGTATCTGTCAACGATTTTAATACACAACTCCTTATCAAACCTAATCCCACCCGCATAAGCCCGATTAAGTTATATATCGTTTTAATGTATTAAAGAATTTTGCTGTATAAGCTTATACTATATGATAGTCACTAAACAACTAAAAATATTATAACATATAATATAAACTTATACTATTATACCTTATACATCACACAAAGTACACCCTCAAATTAATTATATATCTTCATTAGCTTATTAGATAAATTGCATATAAGTTTTCTGCCACAGATTGTTTCCCCTGACAGCAATTTGCTCTAATCATAAATTTTCTTTAATACAAAATATACATTAGAAAATTACACGTGGGTCAGCGTTAAATCATTTTAGTTGGCATAGCTAAACACAGAAAACACCATTAATGAAAGGGAAAATATTTTCTCATGTCGTAGGAGAGTTATTTTTTTCTACTAGTGATCCTTCGATTTGCGTACAATATTTTCTTTTGTTTTTTTATTTTTTAATAGATATGAACCCCATGTAAAATATGTCTACAACATGAGAAAATTTTCTGCTGAGAAAATTGAAACCCTTAATGAAAAGTTAAGTCAAAGAATTTCTTAAAAAAAAAAGTACATGTAAAATGAAGAAAAATTAAAAGGGGGAGGGGACATATATAGCTCCCCTTGGCCCTTACAGTAGCTCTGCTTCTGCCCTTTTCTATGCTTTTGCTCTGTCGTATATATAGAAGAAAATTAAAAAAAGTAAACAAATTGTTCAAATTTACATTACTATAATATTATAGGGGAAAATTAAGTATATGTTGTAGGAAAATTGTTAGGTTATGCTATAGGGATATAAATTGTTGGACCCATGTTTTTTTTCTTTCAAAATACAAAAAAAGTATAGGTCCTACAATCTCTATCTCTATAACATAACTTAATAACTTTCCTACAATATTATACTTGTATTTCCCTTATTATATTGGAAAATATTTTTTTTATGTTGTTGAGATGAGTTATCTTATATTAGTGAAACAAAATTATAAGAGGGAGCTACAAGTGATTGGAGAAAAAAAAAATAGAGATGAAACTCACATTTGTTATGCGTGTGTAGAAAGATGAATTATCTTATGTTGAATGAGATAAATATAATTCTATTATATTTATATAAATACAAGAAAATATATTTTTGATGTTACGTTGCATGAGACAATTTTGTCTCATGCATACATAAAAAAAATGGGTGTTGAACTCTCTCTTTTTTCTCTTTTCTTTTTTTTCGTTGATCCTAGTTATTTTATTTTTGTGTGTATAAAATAATTGTATCTCTCGTCCGACATAAAAAATGTATTCCTCATAAATATACAATCTTTTGAGAGTAATCGTAAGACAAATAATTGAGAAACGGAAGGCATGAAACACTTCTTGGTGAGTTTTTATTTATTTGTTTATTTTTTTATGCATCATCGCTTTTAATCATAGATATTGCACTGGAATTTTGTTTTTTTGTTGCTTACAATCATTTTGAGATCATTATATAAATGTTTCTAGTTACGTGATTCTCCTCAATAAGAAAACCAATATACACTTTTGGACCCATTCGGCCATTCCCTCCGCTAACTAAGAGAAAATAATTGAAAGAATCAGTTCACTTTAACAACAATTAGATTCCACTTCACCTCAACAATCAATTGAAATTTGTTGGTAGTGGTAGAAAATGTGCTACATTAGAGGTAGTTCTACTTCTAACTAGTTACTGCTTTTTGGTTCACGGATCATTCTAGAAATTTGAAGATGAACATCAGTACATTAAACTAATAATTTTACCATATATGTATTCACAACGAGCAATGCAGATTGAATAGGAACTGATTTTATTATTATTTTGTAACTAGAAGGTTAAAGAAAGATTACCCCATTTAAAGGTTAAAGTATTACCACAAGCTTCGACAAGTGCCAATCCTAAATGTCAAGTAAACCTAAGTGGCTGAGCTGAATTTTTCACATTGGGAATTCCTCATTGATGTTGTTACTAACAGTTTGGCTTCTTGTGTATGTGAATTTTCAGTTGGAAGAAGACCCATTTTCCTTTGTGTTATAATCTTCAATTTTTTTATTCTTAAATTAATTAAAAAAGAAAAATAAAAAAGAAGACAAAAGTGTAATATCCATCAAATTTTACCTTTATTGCCACCTTTAGCCCAAAATGGCATTATCAATTGCTAAACCTTATTTTTTTAAAAATGTAGTTGTCCACATCTTTATGTTTTGTTTCGCATGAACCTTTCTTGTGATCATGGCCTACAGAAAGTCATTTTAGCAATATACATTCACGGATTGTTGCTTTTGCTTCATCAATAATTCTTTGGAGGAAGAGACCCCTGAGACATTTATCTCTTATTTCCTGGTCTATAATGCAAGTGCGTGACCCTTATCCCACGACAAATAACGATGCGACACATTCACACAGAGACAACAACTTCATTTTTTGGCCATGATGAGTGTGAACTGTGAACTGTGCTCACCCATGTGCCATTTTGGTTTTTGCTACTAAGGAATGTTCATTGTGCCATTTAGATCAGACTTGCCAAAATAAGTACCATATCCACAAGTACGAAATTTATGCAGAAGATTAGGATGCCGTACATTTTAAAGAAGTTGAAAAATTATGAATTGTTTTATGAAGAAAATTAAAAAAAAATGGTGTCATTGTTTAATCACTGTTGAACACTATATTTATCATATATAACACATATGAGTTATAGCACTTGCTAACCCATCAATCAATGCAATGCATGTTTCTTAATACAAATTCGTTTTAAATCATACACTCGTATCACAATCACAGATGTAGCACTTGCTGTAATTAATAATGATCTCCATATATAAAGGAAAAGACAGGGGACCATAAGTTTTTTGGTGGTGACATATAGTAATCAATACTTACAGATGAAAAGACAAAGCAGGCATAAAAAAAAATTTTATAGTAGGTGGTAGATACAGGTAATTACTTGTCTCAATTCAAACATGTAGAATCCGGAACATTTGTATTTCCATACTGTTGCATTTAAGATCATGAATTATTATTGTTTTCTTACTAAGTCCACCTCTTAGATAGTAGATATACAAAAGTGATGAGGACCTCGTTGACCTGTTTTGAGTTTTGACCCTTACATCCGCATACTGAATATTGATTACTTGTCATTTTAGTCACATGCAATCTAGTTAAAATCGAATTTTTATGTAGAAATATAATGGTGTGTTAGAAATGTAAATTATAAAAATGAGACGAAACGTAAAAATTTTATTATTTAAGGTATACAAAATTATTATATATATATATATATATATATATATATATATATATATATATATATATATATATATATAGCAAAACTAATGTACTAAGAACATTTTTCAAATGTTTTTCCAAGTCAAAGCACATTTGAAATGTATCTCCAAACTACAGCAGTCAAACGCGTCAGAAAACATGACACGATCAGTCTCATCAGAATACTTGACGTGATCTGTTGCCATATCGGATTTCAGCCACAATCCTGTCATTTTATTTGACACGACAATATAGGATTAATCTTGTCATGCAAGTTGACGTGATCCAGTCAGCATTGGTCCCGCAATATTACTTGACGGCACACGTGGTTGTCGGTGGAAACGTGGGGGCAATGTCTCATAACGAGTACATATAGAAGTAGTCTCGTTACTGACAATTACTAGAGTACTTTACCAAATTGGGTATATATAGACCCTCCGATCTGAGAATGAGTTGTTCAATATGTCACAATTTACTTAGTGTCTGATGTTTCTATTTCTGTATTTGATATTTACACACCTTTGCTTCATTCATATTTTATATTCTATCACTTGTAATGTGTTTTTAATGTCGTGGTTTATTTATTTATTTTGAGTCACCAATATCCTCTAATTTTGTGTGTTATTTGCATAAAAACACAGTACTACAATGGATCAATTTCATTCATTCAAAATTATAATGGTTCTAAAATTAATAGTGTAGGCAATTTGAGCTTCGAAGGGGGGAAAAGAGCAATGTATATTGTCTGAGGCTTGTCCATTGAAGATCTACATGAGAAAATTCGTCAGAAGTTGAAGTTGCAATAGAATCAGGTAATATATTCAGTTACGGGTATTGTCCCATGTGGAAATCGCAAATATCCAAGTTTTGAAATATCTGATGATGAGGACGTAGACATTTTTCTTGGAACATTTGTCCAAAACTCTACTACGTCTCAATTTGTTGAGTAATATGTGGATATTGAGACATCAGAGTATCTGTCAACATCAATTCGTGGGCTAGACCTAAACAGTCAGACACAAAATCCTTCGTCATCGGTACCCCAGCCCACACAATCAACTGTTGCGCATGGAGAAGAAAGAAACTATATGGTAGATGTTGAGCCTGACAATGAAGAGGAAGAGGAAGATGAAGACACTCTGTTGGCAAATGACCATGATTAGAATGACAGCGATCTAGGTGATGATGAACATCATGATAATCCCATATCACACGAGACTGTTATCCCTATGTCCAATATTGCGGTTGTTCCACCATCACCAGGTTAGTTAGTGGGTTGTATTATTAATTTTTTATTTTTTATTAGTTACCATGTTTTTCCATCTTTCTTTTTAGGTCGTGGTTCGTGACAATAGGAGAGGAAATGTATTTGAAACAAGAGTTCAGGTCGAAGCGCAATGTCCAAGCCGCTATAAAACATTACTGTATGAATAAACATCAAGAAGCTGTAGTGGTTGAAAGTACTACAAAGAAGTTGTCTATAAAATGTCGTAAGCATGAAGAAGGCTGCAATTGGCGAGTAAGGGCAATTAAACCGAAGAATAGCAGCAACTGGGTAGTCAGTAAATGGGTTGGAAGACATACTTGTGTCAGCGCAACCCTTTCCCAAGACCATAGACAGCTTGATTCGCAATTTATTTCTGAGGCCATTCTAGGTACTATGCATTCTTCAACTATTTGTATGTGAAATTTATATATGTTTATCAGTGAATGCGGATAATAATACTAATTACGCATCTGTTATGAATGGTCATACAGACATGGTCAAGGCTTCACCCTCGGTGGTCGTGATCCTGATACAAGAACGGGTTACTGGTCTCTTTGGATTTAATGTTTCTTATAGGAAAGCATGGAAGGCAAAGCAGAAAGCAATTGCTAAGATTTACAGTGATTGGGACGAGTCATATGTGTTCTCGCCAAGATGGTTCGGGCACATTTTGAAATTTTCTCCGAGGTTTGTTTATCATATTCAACATGAACCGTATGTCATGAATCAACAAGTTGTTAATGGGTACAAGGTTTTTCAAAGTGTTTTTTGGACTTTCGGTTAATGTCGCGAGACGTTCAGATGGTGTAAATCAGTTATACATGTCGATGGTACGCATAAGTACAATAAATACAAAGGGACATTATTGATCGTCACAGCCCAAGATGGAAACAATGAGGTGTTGCCAATTGCATTTGCAGTTGTTGAAGGTGAAATCAAAGAAGCATGGGAGTATTTTTTGGCATCCATCTGAATGCATGTAACAAATAAGACTGGTATATGTCTTATTTCTGATCGACATAAAACCATTATATCAGCAGTCGGCAATCCAGTCATTGGATGGCAACCTCCTAATGTGTACCATGTGTTTTGCCTGCATTATGTATGGAGCAATTTTACAAGAAGGATTTTCTAAAGAGGCTAGGTAATATACTCAAACAAAATACGTACTATGTGTAATAACTTCATCGTTTTGGTAATATTGTCTATTTATGTTTTTTCGCAGGATATATTCCAAATAAAGACTATTTTTATGCTGCGTATATCAAGTTTTGCAGCATTAGTCCAGATGTTGCTGCATGGATTGAGGCCATTCCAAAAGAGAAATTGACTCAGAATTATGATGAGTGTGGATGAAGATACGGTCACATGACAACAAATTTGCCTGAATCAGTAAACAGGGTTTTCAAGGGAGCGAGGAACGTGCCAATAACTTCTTTGGTCAAATGCACATATAGTCGACTTGCTCGTTACTTTTTCAAACAAGGGTGCAAAGCACAGAAAGATGCTGAGATCAGGAAGCATTTCTCAAGTGTTATTACAAAAGCCAAGACAAAGAATGGCGAGAGGGCTACATCGATGCATGCTCGAGAGTATAATGTGGCGCGTACCACATTTGAAGGTGATGATCAAGGCAATACATTCTGGGTTCACCTGAGTGAGGGGAAATGCCAATGTGGTGAGTTTCAGGCACTCAAAATGGATGAAGTAGAGGGCCAACCTAGCTCTAGCCGAACTAACTACAGTATATGCAAATTGACAGGACATAATAGGTGTTCATGTCCTACAAGGCGCATAGCGAATTAATGTGTTGTAATGTTTTATGAATTTTAATATAATATCTCTCTTTCAGTTCATGAAAATGTTGACAGCACGCATAGAATACATCATAAGAGATAAAAAAATTGGAGTGTGTGGAGATGAAAATTGGATAGCATAGCAAATAAAAAGTGGACAGCATAACAGCAAAAAAATGGACAATCCAGGGATCTGCTCCCACTCTTTAAAACCCATTGTACCTGAAATCCAGAAAAAGCCAATTCACTTACATATCAAATTGTCCATAGCATTTGACCCATGGTCCACACATGTCTACTGATGTGCCTCTGGCATGTGATGTTTTTCAAGCCAAAAATAATAAGAATTTAGTTATAAAAGAGCATTTTCTGTATATTAATTGTTTTTATTGTTTAGTTTTTCCATTTCAGTTTATTTCTCATATTTTTATAATCTTTACAGGTTAAAGCAAGAAGAAATAAAAAATTTAGAAAAATTGAAAAAAGGAAAGTGGCGCTACCCGTGCGGACTTCAGGAAAGCAGTACAAAGTCCAGAGATTTGGCCCGGGTGCAGCGCCAGTGTGGCGCTACCCGCGCGAGAAACCAACACAGTGCAAAACTTTGGCGCTGGTGCAGCGCCAATGTGGCGCTCCCCGCGCGCGCGAACTTCTGCGTGTAGCCAAATTCCAAAATTAAAAGGACGCTGTGAAGGCTTTTTGGGAGACTTTTTGACGAGAGAAAGAACAAGGACTTTAGAAAGAGGAGAAGAGCAGATGATTGTTCTTAGTTTCTTATTGTAATTACATTCTTTCATCTTTTTCTTTTATAATTTTATGTCAGCCATGTCTATGGCTGGCTAATTTCTATTATTGTAGTTAGGGTCACAATTCCTATGTGAACCCTTTTTACGATGGATTGATTTATTTTCGCTCGTTTATTTTAATATATTTTATTTTTACCATGTCCGTATTGTTTATTATTTCTGTTAGACTTGATCAACCTAATAGGAGATAATAATTTGGGAATTAGGATTCGCAAAAGGAATATTGGAGTTTTGATTCTGAAAGGGGGTAAAGTAACAATTTATGCATGCTCTAGGGATAGACTTGTGTGGATTGCAGTCGTTTAATTTATCGTGGTCAATGCTTAATTTCATGCGGGATTGCTAAGGAATTAGGGTTCCAATTGGATTAAAGGGTTAGATTGTCAATCGATTGTGATTTAACTAATTATTTTACATGATAATTTGTCTGAGTTATTAAATTGAATGAACATTGTCAATCAATCCAAAGTTTAAAGCGGGGATCATATGGTGTGTGTACCTTAGCTGCAATGCCTTTTTATTATTCTCTCAAAAATCCAATTTATTTTTACCATTGCTTATTAAATTGAAAATATTATATTTTAAATTTTTATCTTTATTTACCATCAATTCACTATTTTCTAAAAACAACTGAGTTTTCCAACTTAAGGGGACTGGTTATTGTGGTACTTGGTTTACAATCCATGTGGAGATGATATTTTACTTACTCATTATATTACTTGTGTGATCGGTACACTTGCCAGTGAGCATCATCTACCTTACAAAACATGAAATAACCCAGGAAATATAGTAATCCATAAAATACAGTAATCCATAAATACAGTCATCCGTAAATACGGTCATGCATAAATAGGCAAAAACATAAACACTGCAATGGGGTGAAACCGAAGATACACAAACTATGATGCTGGAGTATATGTAAGCCATGGTCTCGAACGCGCATCACGATCAGGGTTCCTACAGATCACACCACGGTCTCTCTGTGCATCAGGGTCGTGCCAAATATTGAAATCCTCGGCTGCTGCCTGTAGAAAGTCGTCCTGCGTGTCCTGTGTGTCATGTGATGACTGATGTGGACTGTGTGAGGATTGTGACGTTTCCCACGGAACGTACCCTCTCGCAGCAACACCACTCAATTGGGTGTCGTGATATCTATGTATAGGATGATAGGCGTTGAACCCTTCAAATGATGGGGTTCACGTACTCTGTGAACTCGTGCCCTACTCAAACTGTGTGCTCATCCACTGATATGAAGAAGGAAACTATGTTTAAGTTTGTGGAGGCAAGTGTGGATCAAACTCGAAAGGCATATCTGGCTGTGGGTGTAAAGACATCTGTGTACGCATCTGTACGGGCATCTGTGAAGGCATTTGTGCAAGCATCTGTAAAGACATTTGTGTGGGCATCTGTGTAGGCATATGTGAAGACATCTGTGTGGGCATCTCTGGAGGAAACCACTGAATAGGAGTAAAGGCCATAGTAGGCCATATGGGTTGTCTATAAACACCACCACCGCGTGGACCAGGTGCTAGGATCTCATATACCTACTGCTCAATGCGCGACCGTTGACAACAAATTCCCTGACCCTCCTTCACATAAGGCGACAAACCTAACTCGGGATCTGGTACACTAACTAATAGTCTGGATGGTGCACTTAAGCCAGGCTCAGCAACCCGACAAAACTCTCTAAGAGCACGTAGTAATTGGTCATAAACCTCTTAGACCCAATCATCATCGCACTGCGCACGCATCTATGGTGAATGCATCCACCATATCCACTCTACCCCATCAATGCGTTTGTACAGTAAATTAAGTATAATATGTAAATAATATATAATAGTAAGTATAATTATAAGGCGTGGATGACGAAAATAAGAACAATACGTACCACATGACCAATCTTTGTGGCCTGCCTCGTCATGAATCGTCGAGTGTGACTAAAGTACCAGGTCATATACTCGGAGTTCGGGGACAAGATCCCCTGCCAGGAATCTGTAATCTTAATGCGGTCATGCCTAGTGTTCCACAAATGTATGTGTGGGCCATCTTGGCTTCCCAATCCTCAGTCATCTTACCCCGTAGGGTAGAATCATGTGCACCTCGCAACTATCTAGCAGGTTCAGGGATGTGTTGCCGCATGCAGCGATTAGGCGGGTGCATCTTGACAATGAGGAACGCGAGTGTAGGTGTCACGGCCCTCCACATTTCTGCATGTGAGGATCTGCACCGAGAAACTCATAGCCAGCGTCCTTATATGGCTCCCACACAACCTATAAGAAGCAAATAATTGTAAGCAAGTTGGAACATTTTAGTAGGATGTAAAACACAAACATGGTCATCTTATCGTTCTTACATTATCTCGACCCATCTGGTTAAGCTCTACCAGGTAATCCATCAGGTGAAATTGCTCTCGCCGCAAGATCACATTATTAAACCTACAAAATATAACACAACAACAAACACAAATGATTGAAAGGAAAACCATACAAAATTTTTAAAATCTCAAAGAAAAATCATGATTTTTCCATACCGTCGTCCATAGTGATCGGCTAGGTCACTGGGTAGTGAAATGGGATGTGCTATGATAGGAAATCTGCTTCATGCCCATATCTATAACAACAACGTACATCCCCAATGTCTTTAGCCCCCGAAGATGTGTCCTGACATAGCTCACGAAATAGTATTGCGAGAATAGTAGACCCCGAGCTGTATGTATGAGTATGCTCAAAGTCCCTATCCAATAATTGAATGTATCAACAAGGGACTACCGAACTAGACTTGTCACATATCAAAAATCCTCCAAATAGACGCATAAGATAAGCACGAGTATACCTAATCTGACCTTCGTGAGTAGCTGAATGCTCGCCCAATGAGCCCAATGATGGTACAACCAACTTATTTTAAGGTTCCATCCCTTTAAATCCTCTACGAGTAGAGATAGTCCCATGTACTGCTGAATTATATCCTACCAGTTGCCATGCATATAGCTGGAAACAACCCGACCCTCAGTGGCTGAACCCAGAATGACCTCTATATCTTGTAAAATAATAGTCATCTCTCCAACAAGCATATGGAAAGTGTGAATCTCTGGCCTCCATCTCTCTACCAGCGGAGTACTCAGCCGATGATCAATCTGCCAACAAAAAATCAAGAACGAAAATACAAAAGGTCTTATGTTATTGGTAACATGTAAAAATAATTAACAACAATTAAATTGACAATTGAAACATACCGGTAATCGTCTCATGCAAGCCGCATGCTAGAAACCTGCACACGTCAAATGTTACTGCAAGTCCAGGGGGATGTCATCTGGGTTATGCACATCTCTGATGCCTCTACCCTCTGAGGCTTCTGAGGCTCGTCTCACCCTAAGAGACTTCAAATGTCTGTCGTTCCACACGACTTGGGATATGTGAGATTGTTGCACATCTTGATCCCGTATACCTCATTCTTTGGGACCGGGGTCAATGCAGGATCCATGACTAGCCATTTAACTAACAACAATTTACAAAATAAATCAATAAATATAAGTACTATATAATTAAAATACTAATTCCAATTACTATTTAATTGATTATACTGCAAAGGTAATTAAAACACTAGATAGTAAATAATTATAAGACTATTATTACTATATTATAAAGTATCATTACCATTTAATTAATTTACTAATTATACAGTAATTAAAATTAATCTTTATACCTTTTATTATTAATTACTTATTTTCTAACAAGGTTTCCATGGCATTGTTAAATTA